TAGTCTTACATATTTATTTTAAAATATTGTAATTGGCTATTATTTAAAACTCTTTATTTTAAAATTTATGAATATTACAATTATTTAACAAATACTATTTATTTCTAGTTGACAATGATGATGCTACAACTTCAAAGGACTGTAAAATACAGTCCCATAGTTTACAAAATCAGTCTGATGACAGTGAGGAACACATTTCGAACGGTACAGTAGTCTTACATATTTATTATAAAATATTTTGTAATTGGCTATTATTTAAAACTCTTTATTTTAAAATATTATGAATATGACAATTAATTAACAAATATTATTTATTTCTAGTGGACGATGATGATGTTACAACTTCAAAGGACTGTAAAATACAGTCCGATGGTTTACAAACTCAGTCTGATAACAATGAAAACCACATTTCAAATGGTACAGTAGTTCTAAATAATATTTATTACTAAATATTGTAATTGGCTATTATTTGATACTTTTTATTTTAAAATGTTATAAATATTACAAATACTTAACTAAAACTATTTTTTTTCTAGTGGAGTTTCAAAATGCATCAACTTCCAATGAAGGTGTTGCATTTCAGTCTTATAATTTTAGCAATCCAATGGGTGTTTCAATTGAAAATGACTTAACAAGTAAGTAAAATAAAATCAATCACCATTGTATATTGAGGGGTAAAGGTGTACTTATAAATTAAATTAATACAATCACTTGCTTACATTTTTGCATTAATAATTATACTAAGGTTATTTTTCTTTAAATTTATTTGTGTTTCTTATCCTATTGTTACCAAATGTTGAATGATTTATTATCCAGTTGCTTAATTAAAAATTGTATTTTTTTATTTGAATCTTTGTTGGTAAAAATGTATTATAAATGTTAAAGAAAATAAACCATTATAAATTAGAATTGAGCTAATAATATTTGCTCAATTATATTTAGTTGGGGGTAAGGAGCCTTCCCATTCACAAGCTTGTGAAGCTTATAGACATATACATATACATAGACTTATCAATTTCTGAAAATATTATGGGTGGGAGGCATTGACTCCTTAAAGAGTTTGTTGTGCCATTTCACCTATGGTTGATAACATAAGAAGTCCACACTGAAATAAATTTTGGTTGTATTAAAAAATGTTAATTGTATTAGTTGATTAGTATATTAAAATGTTTCACTAATATAAAATCATCATTTATTATTAGTACAAATTGATGATTTCCAAGAAGAAATTATAATTTCTGAAACCGAGGATCAATTAATATTGGCTGATCAACAAGATTCAATTAATTCATACACTGATTCAGTGGTTGATAAATCAAGTAAGTGTACTATATATTACACATCAACTCTTTTGAAGTATATTTAATCAATATATTTAATTTATAATTATATTTGTATTTATATTTTATTTAATAATTACCACTTGGCTATTAATGAAGTTAAATTTTTATTTCCATGTTTCTGAATTTGATTTTATTCCATTCAGTTTAATATTTGAAATTTATTTTTATTTATCAAATAGGTTATGAATTAAATAACCACTCAAATGAAATGGAAAGTATGCTAAAATATAATTCAAATTTTATTATATCAGACGGGTCCTTACATGAAACTGATACTGCTGAAAACAATACATGCTTTGGTAAAATTACATTAAAAAATATATTCTACTGTATTAGAAATTAACTTTCAAATATCTTGTACTAAGTAGAAACTGATTATTTTGAAGAGGTTACAACTTCCAATTCTAAAGAAAAATCAATGTTTGACAATCAACTACATCTTATTGATTCAAATTATGATGCAGTTGGTAATAAATCAAGTAAGTGATCAATTAATAAAATTCAACATTTCTGGTTTCTATATAGCATTTTTTATGATATGTTGAGTAAAAAGTTCAATATATTATATTGTAAAGAGTATTTAAGTATGGTTTATTGTCTTTATATTTTTACCTAACTTATGACAATAAATTCCCCAAATAACTTATTAATAGTTACTAATTAAATTATATTGAAAATTGTACTTCTTAAAAACCGTGGTACATAGAGGTATATTTTATTTTGAGARATATTATTATAGTAATTCTATCCATGTAAATTAAATTATTCAAAACCTAATAAAAATGATGGATATTATGATTACTTTTGGTTGAAAAGTGTCAGTAAGGACGATTTTTGTTAGAAGAACACTTATAAAAGTGTACAGATATAAAAATTGATATTATGTTAAATATACATTCAATTTAATTATTACATTTTTTTTTTTTTTTTTTTTATGAAATCAATTTTTTTAGTTGGACTTAAAGTTAATAGAACGACAGAATATATCCCATATATTGTTACAATTTACTTTAGATAAATAGGATATTTTATTGTTTTATAATTTACAATTGTTATTAATTTTTTGTAGATAATAGTCAACTGAAAAATGTTACAGCTGATGAATTCAAGAAAGATATGTCAATGACGTTTCAACATTTTTTTAACCCATTCAATGTTTCAACTAGTAAACCATGTAAGTAATTGTTAAATGAAATAAATAATTTTGTTTGGAATATCATATATTGATTGATTATATCATTTTTTCATTTTATAAAATACAAATGTATATATTTTAATAAATATTGGTTAATTTTGAATTAATAAAACTCATCTTATTTAATAATTAAAAATTTACTTGTCGCATTATAATGGAATAGGGATTTTTCTGGAAAAGTGATACTATCTTAATAGTTATTACTAGGGTTAGGATTTTTATACAATAAAAAATATGCACATATATATGCAATTAAAATGGCCAAAATTTTTAGTAAAAAATAAAAAATATTAAGAAATATGTAAACAAGTTCAATTAAAATATAATTCTTATTAATTTTTGATCAATTCAAATTAAAACAATGACAAACTATAATATAGTGTTTCAAATTTTTAAATTTTAAAGCAATTTGGTTTTAACACTGACTTCTAAAAGAGTGTTTGACATCATAAGACATTATCAGTGCATACTTCATGGCTGTTGTTTCACTGAGCAAAATATTGAGCTCTATCATGTCTTCATTTGTAATACCACAATACTTTTTTTTCTATATATTTTTTAATTGTCTTCATTCCAAATTTTTTTTWAAATAGTATTCATTTTATTCTTTAGTAATTTAGCTGTTAGACCCTCTGATTCATTAATTTTTGAAATTGATAAATTAATTATTATAAGATTTCACTCAATGGCATCTTGGTGTTTTCTAACTTTGAACTGAAAAATATAT